ACGCTTATTATCGTTTTGTAACTGCAGAGAGAAAGATACACGGATAGATCTGTGACCGAGAGGGAGAAGAAATTCATGCTAGTGGAACAGCATAATAAATCCGTTCCGTTTTCGAAGTTGATATGAATTGATCAAGGAAACGATCGAAGTAGTGCGTGGTGATCATCCAAGGAAAAATTATTGAAGAACTCACAATAATAACACGACGATGATGTGGCCGAAATTGCATTGGATCCTGCGCTCACTGGAATTTTCTTATTGACCAAAACGAGTGAGGCTGAAACATTAGCATCGTCCTGTGCACTGTTTTCAAAGGCTTTGCTGTTGCTGCTGTTCGTTACTTTTGGGGTAGTAATATGCGAAATAAGTTTAGCTGATAGACTGACGCTAACATCACTGATAATATCGTCACAACTATCGTCATCATTATCATCATCGGCGTTATCGATAGAACCTGACACCTTGTCAAGTATGACCTTATCAGTACGCGTTTTGTTGTCAGAAGTGGCAAGAGGAGTGGAAAGATGAGCAGGATGGATGGTCACGGTGGTGGTTTCGGATGGATCGTAGACCGTCTGTTGTGCTGGGGACTTATCACAGAGTCGAATGGTGGTGGCTACAGTGGGGTTATTCTCATCATCACTACTCAAATCATCATTATTGTAGAGCTTATTGCTCGAGTGAACAGGTTTAATGGTGAATTGAGTGGATATAGACATTTGGACGATGGATCAGTAGGAATACAGAGCAAAATGAATAATCAGTGAATAAGATGGGAACGGAGTCGAACGAAGAACGAAAGATTGCTCAATTAGAAACTCCCGAAGATCTTTTTAAAATCAATTTCGTTCGATTTAATAAATCAGTTCCGATCAATCTGGCTCAAAGTGATTGGAGATCGTAAAATCTTCAAAAACAAACGGCACGGCTGAATTTTTGTCTTTCAGTAAAAATGAATGCAGTCAAATAAATAAGACAAGTTCTTTGATTAGCCCAGAATAATACTCATGAAGAGATGAAAAATGAACGCAATGATAGAATGAAAACAGCCGACTTGATCAGGCGGATGGATGGATAACTTATGATAGTGATATGGGATATCGAATATCCGTGACCAGAAGATAGAGTTTGCGGAAACAAACGTTCAGAGATTATGATCAATTTTCCCGCTTATTATTCAGTTTCAAATCACGAATGAAGTGAACGGCTACGAGTGAAAAAGGTAGGAACAATAAATGTGAAAATTTGCGTTCCAATTCCTTGCTTCAATAATCGTCAGACCTGTGGTGACGTTCCAGCGAATTCACGTCATATGAATAACAACTCAATTATATGAATAAGAGCTCGAAGAGTTTATCAAAGGTCACAGATGCTGACAGTTGAGAAAACTCTAGTTATTTGAGCAGCTCAATCACGTCAAGTAGCAACAATAAGAATAGCAGGACTATCTGTAGTAGC